ACTGATGGAAAAGCTATTAAAATTCCAGAGTAGATCTCTTGGGAGAGAAACTCTCCTGAAAAAGTTTGCACCAGTTCAATTTTTTATAGGCCTTGCTTGGGTAATAACCTGTCAATCATGTACCTCAATTTCAGAGCAATTTACCCAATTTACACGGAGCAATTTCATTGCTAGCAATTTGACCTGTCATATTGCTAGCAAGAATTGCTCCGTGTAAATTGGGCTTTAAGGTTCAAGTTCCATTGGGAGTTCATGAGAGGGTCCAGAAACGGCTGGCTGGTGACATTGTAGTCATTGGAATCTAAACAGGCAACCTATTACAATCGCTCACTTCTAAACTTAATGATCTCATGGGCTTCAGTGGCAATAAATAAATAAATTTAATTACCCATAGCTCTTCAACAAACCAGCAAAATTTAGTACCCGTTATGCTAAAGGAGAAAAATGCAACATGAAGGATGTCCCTAAGGAGGGGTTCTGCTGTATCTCTGGGCCTGTTTCTACTGGAAAGAAAAAATCAATTAAAAAAAAAATTGCTTTATAAAAAAAAAAAAAAACGATTAAAAACATGCAATGGAGCGTGTTTGAATGGCAAATGACCGATTTTGGCTGTGCACTTTTTAGCTGCAAGTTATCAGATGAAATGTGACCTCCAGGTCAAACCACTGCAAAGCTAGATCCTATCACGCGTGAACTTTAAAAATGATAAGTCTTCTTATTCATTATTTTCTGTTTATCAATAGAAACACACCCTTTGATACATCAAAAAGTCTATGTCTTTTAAATGATATGTGAATATTTCTTTTTGTTTTATAGTGTCTTACATGGTCATCACTACACTTTAACCTGATTGGAGGTACAGGTAAGTTATATTTAAGGCAAATTTCCTTTTCAATAAGAAATATGCATGAAACAAGGTCCCCAAGGACAAAAGTCATGTGATTGTCTTATCCTTAGTTTCGTTCTTAGTTTTTTTTTTTTTGTTACTTCCTATTAAAGTCTCAGTACCTTACCACAGCACAATACTTTGAAAAGAAAATTTTTTTTAAAATTTCATTTATTGAGCGCTATTATAGCGCTTCAACATCACAAACAAAATAACAAAGCACAGACCGAACAAAACGTGTCACACTTGTAAATTATGACAGACTCAAATGTTTTACCATTTATAAATTTATTTGTCATACCCCTCATATCACATTGTCTATGTAATAATGGACCATACATGATTTTACATGTGTAACCATAAACTGAACATATTATAGAATATCAACATATATTCAGAATTCAAAACAATGTTTTCCACAATACATGTAAGCTTGTATTGGTAAACTGTTCTAGGCTGTATTTCGCGATAGCAGAAGCTTCCAACACAACAAATTTCAAAACAGGCTTTGAAGGAGTGGATTATCGTACAACGCAACATACCAATAGGTTATCCACAGATATAACAGAGTTATAATTATGGGCATGAGGCCACCTATAGTAAAGTACCAAACATTTTACAATAATAATAATATTCATTTCACTAATAAGTGCTAATTGGAAGTATTACTTACAAATCTGTTGTTAAAAGCTGCTTAAAGTTGTTGTAATGTTTACAGCTTAGTATGTATAGGTTAACATAATCCATTTCTATCATCAACATCTACCCATACGGTACTATTACAGTCTTTGTTCCTGTCATAGACCGTTTTGACCCAATGCCAAACCTTTACCGCACTCAATGACCACCCAATTCACTTTTAAGAGTTAAGGTCTCTTAACTGTGAGTAATTTACATATCAATGACACCTATACATATGAACATTGGCATAAAATACAATAGCACATAACTTCACATGACAAAACAAAAGCACATAATGTGAACTATTGTGAAACAGAAAACAGGCAGGTTAATCTGCAGTCAAATCCAGTAAGTAAATTTTCAATTTGTTTAATAAATCAAGATTAGGTTGAAGACAGATGGCAGGGGGAAAATCGTTCCATCATTTTGGTCCGAATTTTGAAAAAGATTTATCACCAATAGTCGTATAAGTACAGTACGTGGAATATGAAGTAATGTAACATCCCTGGATGATCCAAGACCAGTCCTAACAGGCTCATATCTTGTTAACAGCTTTTAGAGATAGGAAGGTGCACTATTATTAAAACAAATGTAGAAAAAAAAAAAACGCTTCTCCACAGGGAGCCATTTCAATTTTCGAAAAAGAGGAGCTGTATCAGTGCACATAGATACCTAAAAAATGATACGTGTTGCCCAATTTTGCAACACTTGTTGGGTTTTAAGATTTTTTTTTATAGTTAAGCCTACAAATAAGGAAATGCAGTAATCAATTGGAACAATTAAATATTAGAAAGGTCCTTTGACATACTTTTAATTATAGTGGTAATATTTAAATATAATAATATATTGACTTGCAATACAGCAATTGCTTCCCAATTTGTAAGTTGTGACCCAAATTTTGGATGCCATATTATTAAGTGGTCATGAAAAATGAAAAAAAAAAATATCACAGTATTCAACTCAGAATTTGAAATTTCCGGCCACCTACACATGCACCATACTATAAAATTTTGAAGACATTCGCTCCCAACTACGTTTAGTCTCTCCATAATTTTAATAATAAAGCCCGCCCCACTTGAACACAAAATTCGACCAATTTTTTGGGGTGGGATATACCCAGAGGATCTCCTTTTGACACTGTATATGCCTACTGTATTTCAAAACCAAAATTTGATTTTTTTTTTTCCCTTCTGAGAATAAGTTATATCCAGGGGTTTTGCCGAGGAAAGGTTAGTACATAACCTTTGTCATTAAGTAGAAGGTAACCTTATATGCAGGGAACTATGGTAGTGATGGCTAAAAATTTACACAGTAATTAAATATATTAGCCAATCAATTCTTTCGATATCTGGGCTTAGCTCAATCGTAAGGCCTGAGTAGGACCTTTGCATTTCTGACAATTGGGTCTCTGGTGCAAGGCTGAATACCACAGTGGGTCCCTGGGAAATATGTTTGGAAATCAGTGCACTCTAGTATATAGTACATATTTATAATGTGTTTTCTGAGAATAAGTGATATAAGTTATAAGTGTCTTCTGAGAATAAGTTACAGTATATCCAGGGGTTTTGCCGAGGAAAGGCTAGTACATAACCTTTGTCATTAAGTAGAAGGTAACCTTATATGCAGGGAACTACGGTAGTGATAGCTATAAATGCACACAGTGATTAAATATATTAGCCAATCAATTCTTTGATATCTGGGCTTAGCTCAATCATTGTTATTAAACTTTTTCTAATACTATAAAAAGTTTTTAACTTCAGGTTGTTTATGTCGTAAATTCTTGACATTTTTAAAGTACAACCTATAAACTTTGTTTTATCAAATATAGCAAAAGAGAATGTACATATGTAAACCCAAAACCTTCATGAACATTTCAAATTACTAACAACATGCTTATTTTACAGGGTGCAACTGAGGCTGCCATACAATCCTCATAGACAATATAGTAACTAAATTTGCTAGTGACCTAGTCAGTTTAAAAATTTCCTAGTTTGCATTTGGGAAAAAACATTTAAAACACTTTTTTCTAATTCAGTTTCATTTTTTTTTGTCAGTACAAAATGTTCTCACACACACACACACACACACATATATATATATATAGTGATTGAAGGAAAAATAATTACAGGTACACCCTTCTCCATGACAGTTTAAAGTTGTAAACTACGTACAGATGTATCTCACAAAGTCAAGCCAAAGTAAGCTCAAAGCACCAGTGTACTTGTATTAATACTAGGGTTGAAACGCTCTTTGTATTTAAGGCTACTTAAGATGTATTTATTACCATTTTTAAAGGGGTATAACCTATAAGTTTGACAGGATCTGATCATAAGGGCCCTTAGAAACAATAAAACGTACAATATTGAATTTATATATATATATATATATATATATACATATATATATATATAGATTGAAATCTAGCTGTAAGGATATCAAAGATTATTTATTACAAAGTTGTATAATTTATATTTAAGATGTGTATAAGAGACAGCAGTCACTTTGGTATGGATATTCACCACCACTGATGATAATTAAAGATGATAATAAATGTTTGAAAAAATGTATTCCCATCGGGATCCAAATTCAAGACCTTCCTTCCTTCCTTTGAGCTATGAAGCCTAGTGGTAAATTACTATTGGATTCCCATTAGAAAACATTTTTTTTTCTCAAAGGGCCATAATGTCCTAATACGCAATGAAAATTTGTAGAGTATTCGAACAGTAATCGGAAGATCTTGGGGTCATAACCCGATGGGGACAAACATTTTTTTCGAAAATATTTTATTATCATGCTTACGATAATTATTGTATGCTACTTCCATGCAATAAGGCATGTAGGCAATGTTCACTCAAAGTATATACTGTCTTTAGGCATACTTAGTAAATTTAGGCAACCAAAGTAAATGTGATCTGTTTTCTTTTAGCATGATTTTCAAGTTCATTCTCAATATAACAGTTCTCATCTCTTCCAAACATTTTACAAGCTACTTTGAAGTAGCAACCAATGAAGTTACATCAAACAGTTAAATTTGAATAACACTACTGCATATTAAAAATCTGGGTAGTTTGTATATAGCTTTTGCCTATTTGTTTTCCTAATAATTAATTACCACAATCATAATTGAATTTAATTCAGCTATTGCAAGTCTTCTAGGATAATGTGAGACAATTGAAATCACAAAATTCTTATTTTCTTCTTTGTCAATTTGATGGATCACTCTAATGAACTTGCCATGATTATCAAATAACTGTACTTTGCATTCACTTGCTACAATGATGTTGTCATCATCATCAACACATATTCTTAATGGCCTTAACACCATACCATCTTCATCCCCTCCACCAATAAGTACTTGAATGAGTTGACCATCAGAGCCAAATAATTGCACTCTGTGATTATAAGTGTCAGCCACAATGAGGTTCCCTTTTTTTGTGACAGCAACATCAGAAGGTCCATTCATTTGTCCTTCAAGACCGCCATAACATCCAATGGTTTTCACCTTAAGATTACTCTCCATCTCGTAAACATGTACGCAGTTTGCTGTCTCATCAGCTACGTACACTACATTTAGGTTTTCATCCACACTAATACTAGATGGTAAACTTGAGATAGCAAGACCAGTTGATATTGATTTGATCTCCTGACCATTATGTTTGAAAAATGTTATTCTTCTCATAAACCAGTCACAACATATAAAGTAGTTGTTGTTCAATTTGCATATTCTTTTAACCTTGGATAATAATGGCGTTAATTTTATTTTACTGACAAATGCCCCTGAGTTTTCAAACTTGAACACCTCACGTTTGTTACAAGCAACTAAAAACCATCCATTGTCAGACATCACTAAATCTTGGATTCCTCTGTTACCCATAAAACCTGTAGATTCACCAACATTTCTGATAAATCTTACAACTTTGGCTGGTTCAACAATTATTTTAATTGGAGATCCTTTTATTGAATAATTATTAAACTTGACATCCAATGTCAATTCTTTACTTGAGGATCCATCAAGATGATTGCCTTCAGATCTAACAGTTTTGGCAGAAATGATAGTGCAGTCTTCTTTTGGTGCCGTCAAGTTCTTTATCTCTATTTTACATTTATAGCTTTGAGCTATTTCAACAAGAAAAGGTTGGTAGCTTGTCACAGTCATTGGATTTTTAGATACAATTTCAAAAATGTTTTCATTTTGTTCTTCACACTGCATCGGCCGACGACCAATTTGTTCATGTTCTGTAAAAGCGCTTACTTGCAACAATGCAGCATGCTGATTGTCGTTGACAGCCTGGGCTGGTTGACATTGAACAAAATTCTTAGCACCTACTTCGCCACATCTGATTCTTTGTGAATGTAAGTCTGCTGACTGTTGGTCAATGTTGGATGAGTGGGACTCAATTGGTTGTAGTGTATGGCTCCTGAGTGGTGGAAATATTTTATGATAGTTTGTGCATGAAGCACACAAATACTGACTGCAAGTCTGACAGAAGTCTGCACTATTTTTGCCACAACAGCACTTTGTATTTACATTGCCTTGACTTGCAGTTTCTGTAGCTTTTATTGTATTTGACGGTAATTTGCAAAGCCCACCCTCAGGAACAGAATGACTTTGGCAGCAAGCTGGGCATTCTAGTGCACCCTTTTTCTTCATCCAGTCCTGAAGACAACCAAGACAGAAGCTATGTTGGCAATTTAATGTTTTTAGTTCTTGACGAATTTCTAGACAAAGTCGACATTTAATTGCAATTAGAGGAATTTCCACTGATTTTTGTGCCTTACTTTCAGTCATGTTGAAATCTAGCTGTAAGGATATCAAAGATTATTTATTACAAAGTTGTATAATTTATATTTACAAAACACTTTCTTTTCAGACTACTTTAATAGGCATATGGTAAACAAAACATAGAGGCCTTCATGTTGCAGTAAATGTTTGGGGTACCATAAGTGAATGAGGTACAATCATTGGTTCTGATTAGAACAATGCGGCCATTCCAATGCAAAACAATGTAACTTAAATGGGTTATCTGAAACTTACTGATTCTATTCTCACAAACATCAGGTTTCTATGTGCTACATTTGTTTTTATTATTTTATACAGAGAAGTCTGACATTTTTAACACACTGCTTTGTCATTCTGGGCGAGTCAAGTGGCAGAGCGGTAAGGCAGGTGTGCCACTAGCTACAGCCTTAACATAAGCACTGGTTCCAGCCACTCCTCACCCATGGTTCAGTTGGTAGAACCAAGTCTTCTGGGATAATGACTTAAAATGGAGGTCCAGTGTATACCTCTGGCTCGTGTGCACTTTAAAGAACCCATTGCATCTTTTGAAAGAGTTGGTTGGGGGGGGGGGTTACCCCGATGTTATGTATTTCAGCAATTCAGCACAATGAAGCTGCAAGTTATAGGTTATTCTCCTACCTTAACCTTACCTTTACCTACTGTATCATATCACATTTGCCATTAGTTTTGAATGTACAGCGGTCTCAACACCAGCTGTTACACATGGGTCCAAAGTTTGGAAACTTATAGTGAGCTTTCTTATGATATTTTACTGTACCTGATAATCGGTTGGCAAGCTAGCTTCAACAAAACAGTTCTTTTCAGAACCATCCATGTGGTGTACAGCAAGCATTTATTTTAAACTCCACCATGCAAACCTTCAAATAATATTTAGTTTTTTTTTTTTGCTTTGTTTTGTAAATTTAAACACAAATTCACACTTAGTGTATTAGTGTTTGATATGCTATAAAATCCAAAAGCTTTACTTTCTTTAAATACCTCCTTTCCCTTCTATAACTGGAAGGAAGTTCAGTCATTCAAGACTGCTTGTTCAATACAATGAGTTTTATGAAACTTACATGGCTGTTGATACTGTTGTTTTGGATACTTTATTTCAGTACTATTAATTTCAGCATTACAGTACAGTAAGTCTTAGTTGTTGTCAATCAGTGCTGTTCAGTGGTGATTTGCTATTAAAGTAAATATGGCTGCCCTCTAAAATTGGGATTTTCCAAAATGTTAATGTGTGACTGTGTTTTTGATTGGTTAAAACAAAAAAACACAAATTAATGACGTATGGGTGATACCATTTTCAAATTTACGATTCATTGTTCCTCTCTTGTTTATTATTACTCAGTTTTAGTTTCAAATTCAATATTAACGAATTACTTCTACAAAGTTTCACAATGTTTTTTTCCCATCCTCTGCTGATGATGCTTGAAAAATAAAATTTGTTGAACGTATTACTTTCTGCATAACAGGGGTCAAAGTTGGAAGAAGTCATTTCCAGGAGAGAATTCATGATTATGTCTAGATGGCCGGAAATGGTACTCTCAGACATATTGGAATTTTTATCTTTCTCCTGTGTATTTAGAATTTCAGGGGGCCCTGAGCTGGCTGCTATTTAATGAGTTTGACATTTTTTTGGCTTACACTGTTTGAGATCAACATTTGGGAGTTAACAGGATCACTTTACTTGTTTATTTTTTCAAATATCCGCATTTCATGCCTTTTTATTTCCACTTTAGTCATTCAGTGTTACTTTATTATTCAATTATTTATATTTTGCAATTTTTTTAATTAAAAAAATAGGATATTAAAAAAAAATCATTAAGGGGCTAAAAGGATGCAGTCTTTTTTAAATATCAAACATTTTTCTTTACTAGAATTATAAGTTTAATAGGTTTACTGTATGGTAATATTATAAATCTAGCAAATTTTCACATTTTTAAAAGTTGAATTCCTAATAGTCATGTCATTTCTAAATTTATATTGTAAGGTCTCATATTCAGAGAATACACTGTATAGTATATTTCCTGAGCATTTTCCTGTTTTTCTGAAGCCAAGTTATTAAGGCACAGATGTGAAGTGACACATATTTAAACAATAGAATAGAAACGCCACACCACATTCCTCCATAGAATCTGTCAGGCCTGGAAAAAAAATGTTAGTGATTCCAACAATAAAAATTGTTTTAATAAAAATCCTCTAGCACCAAATATAAATACACTATAGCTTAGTTCAGAATAGGTGGATAAACCCGGCTGAACTCACCGGGTTTATCCACCGGCCTGTCTGAACTAGGTGGCTTATCTCAAAGCGGGCTATGTTTCTATAGTAACTAGGCCTGGCGCGCCACCGTGTTTAACTTTTCTAAGCCGGGCGTTAATCGTTGCTGGGGGTCTTGCATTGACTTCCCGTGATGAAATGACCAATCGGCATTCAATTATGTACGCTGTGAGCGAGCATACATTTCGCGAGCAATGTTTTGAAACATGTTTCCTGGTTACGGTTCATTATTATGCAAATTCCAGGCTTAACTCAAGCCTGTCTTATCTCCAAGTCTGAATGTAACCTAAATAGCCCATAACAGTTAATTTTTTTCCTAAAAATGCCTCCGGCATGTTCATGATGCCTCCAACTGCCAGTCGTGCGGTCGTGCACCTTCTCCAGCCCTGGCATCTAGTCATAAAAATAAAAATCCCAAAGGATTAAATAAGTTAATAACTTCTAGTAATGTAGATAGTTTTGGTTCGCCGTATCTTACAAATGATCAGCATTTTTTATAAAAGGTTATTATTGTTACAGAGTGTCGTTATATATTTCATTATTTTGAAAGTATATTTTGAATTATTGATCTAAAGCTTTCCACAAGGTTATAAAGATTTAATTCATTTTGTTAAATTGTGTAAATAATAACCTATGAAGTTTTTATTTTTTTTTATCGTCTCTTGCTGTCAATTAAGGAAGTATAATTTTAATTTCTTCATACTCCAAAATTTTAAAAAATTACACCCAAATATAAGTATGGCATATCAGATATATTTGCCACATATAATTTGATAGTGGGACAGAGCTTTTTGACATGCAATGTTCTTTTTTTTTTTAAATTTTTTAATAAATAGGCTAACACTTTATGTTTGTTGTCAGGAACGTGAGTTCGTGTTCAACATGGCTCACTCTGGATGCTAAGGATGTGGCAGTTATGTTCTCACACGGCAGCTAACGGTTAGCAGGATCCGGATCCTGCTAACCGTTAGCTGCCGTGCGTCCATGCGAGGAAATCCTGATCTGGATACGGCCAATAAGAAATTGTAAATGCGTACGTGTGATTGGTTGATGATAGAAACGCCCTCAACTTGCTAACCGATAGCGCTTGCTAACCGTTAGCGCTAACGGTTAGCTCCCGATCCGGATACTAAGGCTCTCGTGAGAACCAGGCTAACATATAGATAGCCCGTTTGAAAAGAAAACTTGTAGAGTTTCCAATGATAGTGGAATCAAATATATTTTTGTTTTATAATACACAAATCTGTATAAGTTTTTACAGCTAAGTTAAGGGTTTATCTAAAGAATATAATTGAACACTACTATTTTATACTTTTGATATTTGATATTGTTTTGTCTTTTTTTTTTTGTGAGTGACAGCTAATAAATGAAGCAGCAATTTATATTATTTTTAAAGCTCACATATCTTACATTTTAAGAATGGTTGGTCCATTTATAATTTGTCCTTGTAACTTACTTGTTTTGAAAATGTGATGCCATTTTGAATTAAATATGTCACTATAATTTATTTACAATTAATTAATAAATGCCGTACTAGGGCCCTGGGTTCAAATCTTGTTTAAACACACTGGATTTTTTCCCCTAGACCAAAATACAGTACACATTCTGAAACCTCATAATGGGACTTTCTTTAACATCTTGTTTATATTTGTTTTGTAAAAGGGATTGCCTCACCTACGTGGATATTCATTGGCTAAGAAGGTGAGGTTTTTATCAATATAATTTCATTTTTACTTTCAATTACTTATTTATTCTCAATGTTAACAACAGAGGGCCACTTCATGGAGTTCATACATTGCTCTGCCTGAATACTGAATAATAAAGACTAAAATAAAAAAACTTTAGACTATGACCATTTCTTCCCATAGTTTGACCACTTTTCTTCCCCTAAGTTTTATTATGATAATACAGTAGTTTGAGTGCAATCCTTCTTAACATAATTTTTCAAACATCTGTGACCCCAACGTTTGATATTTTCACCCCAAAGTTTAGTCACCTCTTCCATAGACCACAGTGGTTTACCTCAAATGCTGTACACATGGTTCATTCATTCATTCATTCTTTATTCAGCCATTGAATACAATACAATGAAAGGAAATTTAACAAAAAGTAAGACAATATATAACCTAAGTTGGCTAGGATTAACTATAGCGTGAAAAACACTCTGGCTCTGGCCTGTTAGTCCTGTCTTAGGGTTATTTTAACATAGATATATACAATGATAAAATTAAACAATAATGCAAGTAAAATCAATTGAAAAGCAAAGCATATAACAATAAAGTAATATTAATAAATTGATATGATAAGGTGTACCAACATTCTAACTATTTTGTTCGATATTCAGCATGCAAACTTTCAAGAAATATAAGGTAATGTTATATAACATACTTCACAATAAGACAATAAAATTATGTATTTTGATATAAGAAACTATTTATTACTCTTATGGGTACTTTTGAAATGCTTTCTATAACTGTACTATATGCCCTATATCTGGTATTACAAATATTCTCATGTACCTTATTATATTTCATGTAATATAATTTGTACATTTAACCTTTGGCTGAATTAATATTCAGTATTACTATGTCATACGATACAATACGATACGATTTATTGGGTTCACTTTCAGATCAGTGTCACCCATCACTTTGATGGTGCACCCAAGAACAATATAAAATATAAACAAAGCAAAGCAAAAGACAATTCAAAAACAACAAATGGGTAAATAGCATAACAAAAACAAAGCCAAGCAATTTACAGTCAAGTTTGACCCTTATTTGCATATCTAATAGATTGTTACTATAATTAAGTAAGTAGACTGAATGAAACACACTGAGCTGCACAAAATCCTGTACTTTGTAGTCGTGTGAAATTACCGGAACATCAATTATTTATTTATTTTTTTTTTTCCAACGGACCAGATATAAACAAAATAAAGCTCATACATGGTACTGTACTAGACATAAGGTTCTCAGCTGAAGTAAATGTAAAGTTTTCAATATTTGTAATAATTTAGAAGTATAAAATTTGATGTCCATGTATAGTTAGTAATATTTTCAAAAGTATTATTTGAACATCTGTTCCCAAGATTATATTTAATGTTGCTTAGTCAAGTTTCTTACAGGGCTTACAATTTTTTTTTTCTCAGTTACTTATTCCAAAGTGTCAATATCACTATTAACCCTTACCCTGCCATCTTCGCATAAATGCAAACACCGCACAGTTGGTGTGCATGCCATTTCCGAATAAATGCAAATAGGCTCACTGTCAGCCAATTCTACCTTCGCATAAATGCGAATTGGTGAAGGTCTTCCAAAAAACGACCATAAAGTGACTGTTTTAACACTAACACAAATAGTGTTTACTGGATAGGAAAGCCAATGAATTTCTGCACAATTTGATGTGAAACCTGCTGAGTAAGGGTTAAACATGGGTTCATTTTAATACACAGTATTATCCATGTATTATATAATAGTTTTGCAATTTCCTTTAAAGATATGTAAATCATATTTTGTGCAAACTTTAAAAAATGTTATCACTTATTCATAATTTTGACGTATTTCTCATTTTTATGCTTTATTGCTCATTTATTTTTTCTTTATTTTATTGTGAATTTGTTATGTAAAATACAGATACTGTAGTCAGATATTGTTTTATCAATTTTTAACAGTGGTTTCCAATATTTTATAATGATTTATTATATTGTACTCTCTTATACAGATGGTTACATACAGTAAATTCAAAAAATATCCTTGTGCTGCACAATGACACATAATGTACAGCATGCTTCTCTGTAACTCAAGCCACCCATATTTTACACTGAAGACAAATTAGGTACTATGAACATTGTTTAATTACATTATATGGTATTTGAAAACTTGCTTACTGAAATGCATTTAATAACCTGAGAAGTCTGATGTACAGTATAGTCTGTAAAGTAAAGAATGCCAGCAGACTACCTCCCTAGTTGGATAAAGTTTTTTAACTTTATATGCAATATGTGACCACTGCTCTGACAAAATCAGGTGCTTGTAAAAAAAAAAAGTCTTCAAATTAGCGTATAACCACTTTTATAATGCATGTCTTGCCATTTGGTATCCCCTTTTTAACAAATTTATCAAATTTCAATTATTAGCTTTTGACTTCCAAATTACAAAGATTTACTGTAATAATGTTCTTTTTTTTATAAGAGGCTGTTATGCTAGATTGAGTAGTGTGTCATAAGAGCCTTCTGAACAAAGAACAACAGTTTGTCTCAAAAAGACATATAGTGCAAAACATTGAAATCGTAGGATCAAAGAATTGTCATGGTTGATAAATAAGCAATGTTGCTACCACCATATGAACAACTTGTGTAATAATCGACTTGGTGGTAAAATTTATTTCATAATTTTAATCATATATACTATAATATAAGTCATGAATAATGAGCACATTCTGTTTGTATTTATTTATTATGATCTGCTTCACTGCAATTGTATTATTGAGTCTAATAATTAATTACTTCAATTGTTCGTGAACGTAGTTCTGCTAATGCAAGTCTTCGAGGATAGTGAGAGATAATTGAAAATGTAAAAAAAGTATTTTCTCTTCTTTTAATTCTATGAATCACTCTAATGAACTTACCACAGTTATTAAATAACTGTACTTTGTTGGCACTTGCTACAATAATGTTGCCATCATTATCAACATCTACTCTAGTTGGTTGTATCACCATACTATCTTCATACCCTCCACCAATAAGAACTTTAATAAATTGACCATCAGAACCAAATAATTGTAATCTGTGATTTTGAGTGTCAGTCACAATGGAGGTCCCTTCGTTTGTCAGAGCAACATCTAAAGGTCCATCCATTTGTCCTTTAAGACTACCCTTTGATCCAATTGTTTTTACCTTGTTATTGATCTTTAAATTGTATACCTCCACACAATGCTTACCTTGATCAGCAACATAGACTAAGTTTAAGTCTTCATCTACAGCAAAACCAGAAGGTAAACTTTGACTATTTTTCCGTAGAGTCAAGAATGACTTACCAACTGATATTGATTTGTTCACCTGACCGTCATGTTTGCAAAGTAATATTTTATAACTATTCTTGTCAAGCAATAATATTGATAGGTTGTTGTTTTTCAGTTTGTCGATTTTTACAATTTTAGTTGATGATAATTTTACTGTATCAATAAATGCTCCTGAGTTTTCAAACCTAAAAATCTCATCACTTAAGCTAAAAGCAACTAAAAACCAACCATTTTCAAACATCAATAGGTCTTTGATACTGTTAATATCCCGAAGCAGTGTAGAGTAACCAACATTTCGGATACATTTTACAATTCCGACAGGTTCAACAATGATTTTAATTGGAGATCTTTTATTGGAAAATTTTGAAACATGACATCTAATGTTAAATCTGTACTTGAGGATCCTTCAACAAAGTATTTCCTGTTGAAACTGTCATTTCCTCAATATCTATTTCACATTTATATCTTTGAGCTATCTCAATAAGAAAGTGTTGGTAACATGTCACAGTCATTGGATTTTCACAAAGAATTTCAAAAGTATTTTCATTTGGTTTTACACTAACACTACCAATTTCTTGTTTCTCTAAGTAACTCAGCATTTGATCTTTTTTTGAATAGAAGTAGATCTTCCCATCATCTCTGGGTTCTGTTTCTGGTAGGACAGCAATTTTTTCTTGTAGCTCTGTAATTGCCTGTTGACATGTTTTGTTTGTTGCTTCACCACTTTTTAATAACTTTACAATGCTATCTTGCTTTTTTTCAACATCTAATATAGTTGAGTTGAGTTCATCAATTTTAAAATTACTTTTCTTATCCTTTGTCTTGCAGACATCATCTACTTTTGCTTCTATTGGCTTTCCTGTTTTTCTGACTAATTTAACCATTTCTTCCACAGTTTCGTTGATTTGTTTTTTGATATAATTTCTACTGTTATTAAGATCAGAGGCATTTGCAATACATTTGCTTATCCCTACTTGTGCTTGTTGTTTGTAGACATCAGCTCGGAGTACCAAGGAATTTGCTCTTACTTTGATGTCATTGAATTCTTCAGAAACACTGATGTTCATGCTTTCCTTTAGCTTTCTCTTCCTTAGAGTGCTAAAAAGAAAAAGAACTTTGTTTAAATTCTAAAATCATCCTAGACAATAACAATTGTAACAATTTAATAAAAAAAAAAAGAAGAAAAAGAACCTACCAAACAACATGCAACAAAACTCAAAAACATATGAGGCCTGTCGTGGCAAAATGGTTAAGTTGTCGCACAGGCCAGTAAATTGATCTTTTGAGTAAATGATCTTTAAAATATGGGAGCTCAAAAAATTGCCAAAAAATCCAAATTTGTTTTTCACTACAAATCAACAGTATATTGTCTTGTTAATCATGTCCCAAAGTATTAGTTCTGAAAGTGGTCAACAAATCATTTATTTAATGTTATTTTGATAGTTATTTCTATTAAACAATGTATGCACAATTAACTTTGAAAGGCAATTACTCAAAATCATGTTTATCTTGACTCTAAGAGTGCTGAACTTTCACTTTCCAATAACTTAAGCTTGAAATGTCCAATTTCAATGAATGACCCCTCATTTTAAAGATCAAATACTCGGGTATCTGAAAATACCAATATCTTGAATTTCAATTTTTGCTACAACTTGGCCATTTTGCCACAACACGCCTCATATGGCGACAGAAATTTTTCCTCATTATGTGACCCTCTGGAACACGCTTCCATTGCAAATACAAAATTGATCATATATGGATAATTTTTGTAGCATCAAGAAATATGGATAGGTGCACTTTCTGGTCATATTCCTGATGAAATGCCATTGCGATTTAGCAGTGTCCAATAAGATTGCATGCATCCAAAATCCCCCCCTGGGGTGGCGGGATGGAAAATTGGACATTTATGTAGACTGGTTCTTTAACAGTCTTTTCTATGACACTTGACACTTTTAAAGTAAGTTACTAATGCACCTACTTTAATTTAGCATGAAACAGAAAAGTGACAGTTAACCAAATCACTGTGGCAACCAGAAATTTTGGTGGCAGGACGGAATGAACAAATTGATCAGAATTGAAATAACAAGTTCTCTTCTCAATTAATGCAAACTTCATAATTGTACTAAAAATCTAGGTACTATATTTTTTGATGTAACAAATGCTTTATCGTTACAAGCATTATCAATTTATTTCAATGTTTTTTCATAATAAAAAATTGTGGTAGGATGGAAAGTGAGGGACAGAATTTTTTACAATTGCCCCAAAATAGCCCCAAAATTGAAAATGTAAAGTTGAACTGTATATTAATATATTAGTTAAGTGTTATATGATTTAATAGTTATTAAATACAACTCTATCTTCCAAATCCATATATTTTTTCACAAAAGAGAATGTTTTTAGACATACACAATCCCAGGTTTGTAGCTATAGGAAACCAAGTGTGGGTGGTAGAGACTTTATGTGTGGTTAGCTGATAACATTGGTAAACTCAGAATAATAAGATTGATTTTTAAGGATGGGCAAGGAGGGTTAATAAAGGTGGGTGAAGGGCTAAGGAACTAGCTGTACCAACTACCTCCCTGATATCCCTTTAAACAATTACACAACATACAGTAGGTTGCAGATAGTTCTTCTGTAGTGGACGGCACTACGTCAAAATTCAGCACATGACAAGATGTTCATTTTTTTTAAAAATTAGTCAAAACGTGACATAAGGATTAACGTATATTTTGTATTGAAGCGAATGCTAATTTAATGCACTGCCTTTTACATTCATTACTATTTTAACTACAAGTAGAACCTCGTCTTTACGTACCCCAGTTTATACAAACCCTCGATTTTACGTATGCCTTGTATCAATGATGACGTCATCAAAACCCCAAAAAATATTTAAAACAAACGGCCCTTTTCAGAGCAACCATAAGTTAAATAAGACTATAACAATAAACAAACCATAATGCAATATTTTCATTAAACAGCAACGTTGATTGAGTCTAATACCGGGTTGTTATAATCTAAAACTCATCTGGTTGAATTTTCTACACCAAGCTGAGTAGGCATAGTTTCGTACACGAACGCTAATTGGTTGGCTCGTCCAGTGCAGTGCACGTGGTTGCTGTTCCACGTACACAAACGCTAATGTGGTTGGCTCGCCCAGTGCAGCGCACATGGTTTTAGTTTGTCTCTGCAGGCCTAGACAACACCACAGCTCTGTTGTTTAGAATAGCCATGAAGGGGAATTCCCAAGTTAAACTTTTGTCGTATAGGTAATCTTAAAATTTTTTCATGTTTTTTAGTTAAGTAAAAGATATATAGTGATGAATTAATACACAGACACATAGCTTTATTTGAACACTTATTATGACATCGTAAAGTGGTGAATAAAAACACTAAACACTGATGGTTTATTCGTAGGCCTAGTGGCTACAGTAGGTCTAGCCTAGGTAACATCGTTCGTTCATGTTTATTGAGCGTTACGTACGTATTAGGTCAAAGGTTACCACAAATTTAACCCAACCTCAATTTTACGAATCTTCTAATTTACGTACACCCTCCGGTCCCGTACCGTACTTAAAATCAAAGTTCTGCTGTATCATCTTTTTAGAAATTACAAGTTTAGGTTACTTTATACTGTAGTAGTTGAATAATTAACAGATCTAAATTGATCCCAACTAGAACTTTTAGAGGCAGTCTTTGACCTACTAACATTGATTTGGCAATGATGTCATTGCTTTTCTGGCCACTTACAGCTAACTGGTCCACTTTTATCTACCTGGTCCACATTCAGCTACCTGGTCCACATGCAGTCATTCAACTCACTTGAATGTTGTCCCCAATTACAAAAAATTCCAGAAAACCCTGTCATAACATTCAAGATTTTACTTTTTCCTCATTATTGTATACTATATAAGTTTGTTTTGTGAATGGATTTTATTTGTTGCTAATTTCTAGCAGTAATGGCTGTTATATATAGTGGCTTGATGCAGTTGTCATAATCTACTCTTTCCAAATGGTGTACTTTATGGGTTCCAAGTATTTCATTTACTATGTCTGGGAAATTGGAGCCTGTGGTGGGGCAAAAAATCTAAAAATGTTAATTTAAAAATATTAATTAGGGTATAAAATTAAATAAAAATATGCCATACAAATTTGTAATCATATAATTGCCCAAATTTATGGATTTTAGAACAAAGCAAATGCTACAAACAATACTAGATTTGTGTTAAATGGTGGCGGGACGGAATTTGACCAATAGAAATTCTTTAAAATCACAAATAAATATAAAAGGTGTCAAAATTATTTTTTAAATTAAATTTGTACTATTGATAGTTACCTATAAAATGATGCTATTTAATGAAAATTATAAACATTCTGAAAGCAAAATTACTTAATTTTGGGGGTTTCCATCCACCACATTCATTATGCTTATTTAAAACTTTGTTCATATATAATACAAACAAAAAAAAAACAATATATTTTCATGTTAAAAAAAAAAAAAACCAGCTCCAGATGCCCAAATTACTAGTATTTTAAATGATATAAAATAGTTCTGATGTAATTTTAAAATGAAAATTTTGGATTTTAGTTGACAAGTTTTGGTTTTACCCTCTTTGCTTTAAGCAAACAAAAACCTGTGTATATGCATATGGATGACCCCTACTCAGATGGGGTTACTTAAAATTGTTATCCTGGGGTTACTCTGTCTGTGATGAGTTTGTGAAGGCACATAATTGTGTGATTTCAATTTAATGGTGTATTAGTTTTTTTTCCCATTTTCATGAAACAGCAAGTGACTCATCTGTTGCATTAGGAAGTGATGATTCATATACCAATATCATTATGAGTCTTAACGAATGTAATTGTTTTTAGTTGTGAGAAAATTATCTTGGTGTAAGATGGCAGTTTTTATGTGACTTTTAAATAATAAATAAGAAATTGCTTGGTTTTCTTTTCTGATTTATCAATTAAGACAGTACAAATTCTACATAAAAAACATTAGACTCATTTAAAATGAATAGTTTTGAGTGCCAAAAGTTTATTTTAGATGTGAGAACAATTCTTGGTGTAAGAAATAAGCAATTTAAATGTTTTAATTGTTTGGTTTTTCTAATTTATCAAGATTAATCAAATTTCTATTAATAAACCCCACTAAATAGCTCTTTTTTTATTAAAAAAATAATAATAGTTTTGGTTGCCATTTAAATGGTTGTGATATATTTTAAAACAGAATAGTTTATTTAAGTTGTTAGAAAAAACAAAACTACAACTGCTACTTTTAAATAACCGATTTAATTGTTTGGTTTTATGATTTATCAAGACCAGTACAAATTCAATACCAAAAAAGTTGACTTAGTTTTATAAAATAAAACTAGTGGTTTTGGTTGCCAATTACAAATAGTTGTTTTTTATTTTAAAAACTAGAATATTTCATTTTAGTGACAACAAATTTTGGTGCCAGTTTTATGCTACTTTTAAATAAGGAATGTAAGTGTGGGTGGGGGGGGGGAAACGGAAGGGGCAGAAAGTAGGGCCGATGAAGAAAACAATACCCTAGGGGGTCCGGGCGCATGTCAACGCGACATTTCTGTGATCTAGGCGCCCGATAATAACCTCTGAGACCTTTTGGGCCTTTCTTCTTTTTGTTTTGGGGACTTTACAAAAGGTGGGCTGGGGCAGGCCCTCTAAATCCACCCCTACTAATACGAATTCTATACAAAAATTTAAAAAAATAAAAAAAGTAAAAACCACTAAATCACAATTTGTACTTTTAGTTGCCAGTTACAAAAATGAAAGTGATTTATTTTAAAACAGAGTAGTTTATTTAAGTTTAAGAAATTTTTATGCTACTTAAAATTATGATTTTTTTTGCTTTTCGGATTTATCATGACCAATAAGAATTCTATATAAAAGAAAGCTAATTTTTATGAAAATTAGTAGTTTTGGTTGCCAGTTAAAATTTTTTTAATTTACTTTATTGTAAAATATAGAATAATTTATTCTTGATACATTTTATTTATTGATATTTTGAAAAGTTGAAAAGGATATTTTGCTGAAGATCTTAAGATACTTGAAACTTACGAATATCTTGTTGAGGCTCGCCATGCTTGTTCAGTTTGATACTGTAGTTTTAACTTCAGATTAGGTTTCTCTTTATGCGGTTGACTGTGTAACCGATCAGTGGTGACTCTGTGATATTAATATGTTTGCTCTTTATGAGTGGGAATTTCCAGACAATACTCATCTCCAGATTGGTTTCAAATGTAACAAAAAAAAACAAAAAAAAAATTGAAATCCATAGGACAGGCCTAGGCCTGTAAAGAGGAATGTTGAGAAGGGCACCAGTCACAAAGAATCAGAAAGAGGCTGTTTGGGAAGACAATTTGGCGCATTGATTTCCATTCAGTTTCTGAACCTTGTTATCGAGAGTTTAGCCACATGCTGACCATTCTCGTTGATACTGCAGCTTGCACCGTTGATGTGGGGTCCAACTATGTTTCAGCCCTATGTGCGGGTATTTAATGGCATAAATAATTAAAAAGTTGCCACTTCTTGAGATTAAGTCGGCCCTCCCTAGCTAAATGGAGCCTGTCATCATAGGCCTCGTGTGACAAGCCCATCAATCGAGTGAGTTTGCACGTCGGCTTGACAGATTCCAGTCTGCCAGCCAGAATTAAAAACACCACCTACCTGGGCCTGCGGTCGATCCTCTTGAGTTGGCTCTGTCTGTTGCGGTGGGAAAATAGATAAAAAAAAAATTCTCAAATCTTCATCTTCCAATCAGCAGAAAGTTTGTGGAGGACCAAGATACATGTAATATTGTTATGTGTGAAAATTTGAAGTAGTCCGCAGTATTTTGAGTTAGTGCCTGGAGAACACATGCACAGACATGCGTTATTGCAATACCTTTCACGTCTCCTTTAGGGTGAATAATGTAACATCAGGCCTTAAAACCAAGCATCTTGTTTATATATTTGTTTTGTGAAAGAGATGTCACTCATAAGTAAATGGCAGTGTCAGATCCAGGCAAAATTTACAGTGGGATTTAAATAAAAATTCAAGTAACTAAATTTAAATGATACAAGGTTGAAGTTTTCACTAATTTTCATAATTAAAATTTTCACTATAAATTAGTATTCTAAAATTATTATGTTTAAATTAATGACCAGAAATAAAATTTAAAAAAAACTTACATAAATATACAAATTAAAATTTAAATATGGAATATTTTGTTCAGGCACTATATTCATAAACCACCGAAGAGAATAGAGAAGGAAGGGAGAAAGATTACTCGTCAACATATTTGAGAAAATATCGTTTGTTACCCATTGAACAACTCATACTCGCACAATAAATCAGGCAGGCTTCGTACCATTAAGTGCAATTTTAATAGATCAAAAAACTCTTTCATTTACAACTCTATTATAGTACTATATAATGAAGCTTTCAAAAGATAATATAATATATTATAATAATTATATTAATATATATTTATTATTCTTATAATGTTCTGTACATATGCCATAACTTACTTTGTTTACTTCATATTTATGTACTGCACCTTGTTTTATATTGTGTATTTTTTAGTTTAGTTCATTTTCTTTTTATGAAAGCATTGGAAACTGAATTTCGTGTGAACCGTGTTGTGTACAATGACAAAAAATTGTTTTGTATTTTGTATCTTGTTAGTGTAATTTAGTGATAAATTTATTTATCTTGTCAGGTAGAAGGTAAGATTCTTTGTCAATTTAATTTTGTTTTTCATTTTCATTTATTTCTTTTCTCAATATTAACAGTTACGAAAATTGAATTCATACTTCTCCCTTGTGTAAGTTTATTTTTATTAAACCATTTCTTTTTATGAAAGCATTGGAAACTGAATTTCGTGTGAACCGTGTTGTGTACAATGACAAAAAATTGTTTTGTATTTTGTATCTTGTTAGTGTAATTTAGTGATAAATTTATTTATCTTGTCAGGTAGAAGGTAAGATTCTTTGTCAATTTAATTTTGTTTTTCATTTTCATTTATTTCTTTTCTCAATATTAACAGTTACGAAAATTGAATTCATACTTCTCCCTTGTCTTTTTGTTTGATGAATTTTACCACCAAATTTTTCCGCAGACCACTAAGTAGCATTCAATGATGGTCCATTTGTTAATTTTTGTATCTCTAATACAATATCACATTTCAGTATAGTTGTCTTTTGACATTATCTCTCCAAAATTTAATCTCTTCCATATAATGTTGTGGTTCGACTTTAGAAAGATATTGAAAAGGGAGGTACAATCTTCCTTGAGAGACTCGGTAATCAATCACAAGACATCTGTGTGTAGCATTCAACATTTTATTTGCGCATAAACCCAAGCGAACTATATGAAACAAAACCCTGCAAAATATATATTCCAAACAAGAATTATATAATGCATTATAATTACACATTATATCAAGGATAACAACATTAGGCAAGTTATATAATTTAACAATTCTGATATAACCTTGCAACACACCAACATCAGAAACAATTTGATGATTAAATAGCATAGCCTATTAAAATGGTGTAATAACTTGTATTTACCTCAAGCTAGAGTCTGCTTAATGCACCAGTCTGTAATCTACGACTATTGGACGCTCCAACAACACTTCTGAAACTACAGACTATTGGACGCTCCAACAAACTTATGTTAACTACAGACTAATAATAGCCACCAAAACTTCTGTAACTTCAGACTATTACTGGCCACCAAGCTAATGGTATATTAATCACTAAACAAGAATATAACATAAGTAATAACAATCACTCCCCATTAGCGAAATGTACAATAACAATAGTAACAACTCATGTAAATGTACAGCACAATAATATTAACAATGCCTTCAATACTGGCATTAGTCGAATACGGACATGAATTAACTACATATTATAATATAACATGCTTATAACTTATTGTATCAATGCACACATATCATTCAATTAAATTAACTACAGATTATAATATACACTTACATCATGGACTTCATAACTGCATATTGCCAAAATAACGAACTGCAGGGCTTGCAACGGAACAAATGAAAACTCGTTGCAAGAGCCCACAAAAGCATATATACCGCGGGACAGCTGTGTACTTGCATGAATATGCATGAGATGAATATGCAAATACAACAACAATAAAGCAAACAATAGCTGCAGCGCAATCCCATCACACGAACAAATCGCATCATCACAATAATACTCCACTAAATTTTATACTCATCCATTTATTAGTTTTTGCACAACTCTAGGCAGAATATAAAAAAAAAAAATAGACAGACTCAATGAAAATTACTTGTAGTACAGTTGGAAGGGGAGGGGTTGAATTTATTAGATATTTTCGCCTCTTTCCAGGAATTTCACCTACTGTAAAAGGGCCAACACTACACAATATGTGTACATGCTACCAAAAAAGTAAGTTCATATATTAAGCTATTGTATTAATGAAGTATCATATGTGCAACAGATAACTTAGTACGGGGCTGGAAAGAGTGCACGACTGGCGGTCAAAGGCATTGACCATTACCCCGGAGGCATTTTAGAATTAAAAAATGTACACTAAATGTACTACTGTTTAGCTATAATAGTGTAAAGATAACATTTGGTGCTGGTGGCATTTAATCAAAATAATTTTCGTTGTCGTAGGCACAAAAATATTTTTTTCCAGGCCTTCTTATGAATTAGAAAACATAATGATTGTTTCTAGTTTAAACTCTTTCTATTAGGTGTTACATATTTCATGCAGCTAAATATACCAAAAATATTCTGCTTATATTAGGTTTTTGACTGGATTAATATTCAGTAATACTATCATGAATATTAATTATGTTATATATAACAACATTTCATTGATAATTTCTGTTTAGTATATGCATATTTAGGCACATGAACCATGTGTTATACTATTTTGAAGTGGACATATGCTGTATTGAATAATTAAAATTAGAAAATATAAAGAGTATGTTGTTGTTGGTAAATATTTATGAGGTGTAGTATTTATGATTTGGTGTATGATTTTGTGTACCTTCCTCTGCTTTACTAGTCCCAATTAGTATATTTTATAAAAATTAATTGTAGTAGGTAATAACAACATTTCATTGATCAATTCGCAGTAGTTTCTCTAATAATCATAATAATAATTATTATTATTATAGAAACTACTGCGATAATCATAATAATAATTAGCTTTATTTTAACATGGGAAAACTTGTTTAAACAAAAGTTGTTCTTCTACTGTACAAGTGTGTGAAGGAGAAGCAAATAAATTTACAAATTAATATTAACAAATTTGAAAGCAATTAAAAAAGCAGAGTATTAAGCATAAGGCTACCATTTTAAGTTGCCTGTACAACAGTTGTTATATATTTAAATGTTGACATCTGTAACTATAAAACCCTCCAAAAACCCAGACATCCAGCAACTCTACAACGGATACCTCGCAACCTGAACACTTTGACACCTGAAATGCCTTGGTTACAAAATGTCCACATTGCAAAGCACCCGCAGCAGAGCGTCATGAAACATCCAGGTTACAAAATATCTGCCACCCATCTACATGATAAAAAGTACCTTAAGGGTATTTACTGAACTTAAATTTAAAACTAAACTTAAAATCCAAATCATTATACAGTGGCTCCATGGGCTTAATTTTGAGGAGAAGACGATCTCAAAAAGAAGCCCACCTCTTAGTTTGCAAAAGTAATCTCGAAAGAAGCAAAAATGGGCTTAATCAAGATAATTTGGGCTTCTTTAAAGGTACAGACATTCAGACTGACGTTATCTTTGATGATTATGATGGCGTGTTAGCATGGTAAAAATTTTAAAAATATTAAAACTATTGTTGAAAAATGTTACACTGTATAATGGAAAAAATTTACAGCATTCATTTTGAAAAGAAGCCCCCCTTTTTAGTTTGCGAGAGTAATCTCGAAAAGAAGCCCATCTCGTATAAAGAGACCCATCTCAAAAAGAAGCTCATCCGAAGAGCCTAAAACAAGTTTACAGTTTTCAACACCGACAGAAGTAGAATTTACTACTTCACCTCAAACCAAGTAATGTCTTGTATACTACAGTACTGTACAATTCAATTCTCTCAGCTACAAAGATAGAGACCGTCATACTATATACTGTATTTAAATACAGTTTTAGTGCCCTACATAGCGAAGTTATAATGTAACATATTAAAATATTTAAAAAATCAAATATAGTGAGAGAAAAAAAATTGTAAATATAACATAAAAAAAAAATAAATAAACAAAGGAAATGAAAAAAAGAAACAATAATTTGATATTACAGTATTTTTAATATTCCATTACTTTTGTTTTGGAAACTATAAACTATAAAATACAGATAGATATCAGATATTGTGTTATCAATTTTATCAATAAGTGTGCAATATTGTCCCATATAAAGTATTACATTTTTGGAGTTACAATATCCTTAAATTACACTGATCACTGAAGGTTTATCATAAATTCAGTTTGTTTAGTTGAGATCTTGAAGACCTAGGTCTATCACTCTAATACTGTAATAGAGTACTTTTAATTACATTCTGAACAGGACAGTGCAAAATCTCGATGGATCTAAGGGTGTCATACTGCTGTAGACATAAGGTGGTTACTTAAACAGCTTCTGTAATGCTCAACCTTTGCATTAAGTTGTTATAGAAGTCATAAATGTTAAACATAATATAAATCATCACATCATAAATGGAAATAGTCATTTTTAAAGAAATTTTCATCTTGTTTCATCATGTTTTTTTGAGAAATTAACGTGTAGTGCCTGTAAATGCTAACTATATTGATAAATGGATACTGTATGTGATGCAGTGTCAATTAACAAGTATTGGACCCATTTTTCCATAAATTTTGCAAGTGCATAAATGGAAAATTGCATATAAGACTATTGATCTTCACTTTTGTTTTTTTTCCTAGTAATTAATTAAAGAAATTGTAGTAGAATTTACTTCTGCTAATGCGAGTCTTCGGGGAAAGTAGGAGGCAATTGAAAATACAAAATTCTTGTCTTCTCCCTCGTCAATTTGATGAAATACTTGAATGAACTTGCCATGCTTGTCAAATAACTGTACTTTTCCTTCACTTGCTACGATAATGTTGTCATCATTATCAACATCTACTATATATGGTCTTATCACCATACCATCTTCCCTTCCTCCACCAATAAGTACCTTGATGAATTGACCATCAGTACCAAATAATTGCACTCTGTGATTGTCAGTGTCAGCTACAATGACATTCCCTTCTTTTGTGACAGCAACATCGGAAGGTCCTTTCATTTGCCCTTCAAGATCACCCTTAGATCCAATTGTCATACAAAGTGTTCTGTTTCCGTAGTAGTATACATTTACACAATTTTGAGTTTTATGAGCAAGACACAATAAGTTTAAGACTTCATTCACATCAATACCAAATGGAAAGTGCTGTTTTTGATCACCATATATTGATTTGGTCCAGATCACCTGACCATCTGGACTCAAAAAATATATTTTTGGTAGGCTTAAAATTTCAGATTTGTATGCATACTTATTGTACTTTTCTTTTATTTCGGAACCAGCACATATTAAGTTGTTTTTTAATTTCCATACTCTCTCAATTTGGGTTGATTTTGGTAATGTTATTCTACTGATAAATGCTCCAGAATTTTTAAACTTAAAGATCTCACACTTACAGGTACAAAGAACTAAAAAACAACCATTTTCAAACATCACTAAATCTTGTATGCCTTTATGACTATTCCCCATATTACCTGTAGAATGACCAACATTTTTGATGAATTTTACAATTCCGACAGGTTCAACGATGATTTTAATTGGAGATCCTTTTATTGAAGAATTACAAAACTTGACATCCAGTGTCAAATCTGTACTTGAGGATCCTTCGACAAAATATTTTCCCTGAGATTCAACAATTCTGGTGGTAGGTGAAGCATCTTTCGTCGAAGAAGGGGTTATTTCCTTTTTTGAAACTGCCAGATCCTTTACATCTATTTCACATTTATCTCTTTGAGCTATTTCAACATGAAAAGGTTGGTAACATGTCACAGTCATTGGATTTTCAGATAAAATTTCGAAGATGTTTTCATTTGGCTTTTCACTTACATAACCTATTCCCTGTTTCTTTAAAGATTTCAATAAGTCAGCATTTGTTGGAAAAAAATAAACCTTTCCATCATTTCTAGATTCTGTCCCTGATGGGACAACAATCTTTTGTTGCAGTTCTTGTATTGCCTGATGACATGTAAGGAGAGCTGTTGCTTTACCACATGTCAATAAATTTTTGATGCAATCTTGTTTGTCGTCAACATCTCTTATATATGATTTGAGTTCATCAATTTGAGAGTTGCATTCCTTTTCTTTTGTCTCGCAAATATCACCTAACTTCCTTTCCAATGCTGCTCCTGATTCTCTTACTAATCTAACAATTTCTTCCACGGTGTCGTTGATGTCTTTTGTAATGTCATTTCTAGTCTTATTAAGGTTGGAGACATTTGCAATACATTTGCTTATCCCAACTTGTGCCTGGTGTTTGTGGACATCAGCCTGAATTATCAAGGAATCTGCTGTTGCTTTGAAGTCATTGAATACATCAGAAGCTCTGATGGGTTCATGCTTTCCTTTAGCTTCTTCGTGATTATCAAAAGTACAATATTCACAAATTGGAGTTTTACAAACATTGCAGTAAAATTCCAACTGTTTTTCATGTAGTGAACACACTGGCTCTTGCCAGTTAGCTATCTTGGAATACTGAAAAAATAAAAGAATTTATTTAGCTCGAACATATACTGGTTGTTATGCTAGACAATAACAATTATTATTAGTTTTAACTATTCTCTTTGTTAAATCGTTTTTTTATGTACAGCTAATGAAATCAATCTTGTTTAAGGAATGAAAAATGCTTTCCTGAGAAATTATAATGTAGGTTTAAAATCAATTTACTGTTCTCATGGTTTATGGTTTTAGTGCTGGAGATATATTTTGAATGAAGTACTATTTACTTAGTATATTGTGACTATACCCTTTTAAAAATGCACACATCATTTATCAAATTTTATGCAAAGAAATTTAATATTATTTAATAAAAAAATAAGTTAATTTTTACTGAGGAAATATATTCACCATGAAAAACCTTGAATTTCAGTTTTATATAGTTTTAGCTACATACTACTTTGGAAACAGATCTTGTTCAGTGAAATATACATAATTTAACTAGCTTTGAGTAAGGCATTTGTTTGTTCTTGATAATTTTAGTAATTTAGTTGTTTAATACTGTTGTTCATAAACTATATGGACCAAGATTTGACAATCTGTGCCTAAAATTTTCTACAAAAAAAATGTAGTAATATATATATTAAACCCTTTTGGTATACAATTATAGCTGCTCCGAGTTTTCTGGCCTGTTCTTTTTTGTTCTCTGCTTCTTCCATATTTATGTTAATTTATTTTACTAGATAATGTATTTATCATTTCGCCAAAATTTACGTACACAACATAATGTGTCTGTATTTAACATATTTCTATCTGTCAATTTAATGTTCTTACTCAACCATCTAACATCACTATTAGGTGCACTGTTTACTGTTATGTTTACTGAAAATTTTTGATACACTTTGCCACAACTTGACCACATTTTTCAGTTAAATTGATTTTGTGAATTTTATTTAGTTCTAAAATTTTGTTGGTTTAATATACTGTACTGTACGTTTTACCACTTAAACGCCCAAGCTTCCACCACAAACTGGTATTATCCGGTTTCAAATTGGTTAAAACAAGGGGAAAAAATAACTAATAAAAATTGGCTGTTTTTTACTAAGTATTACACAAAATCATTTAGAAATCTGCTACTTACAATGGTACTGATATAGTTCCCCATAATATTTGTTTTACTTCTACTTTTTTTTAGTATTGGATTCAGGATATGTAGTTTTTCTTCAAGCAATGGATCAATCCTAACTTGTAACTAAATATGGCTGCTCTTGTGGGAACATCCCAGGCATTGTGACCTGATTGTGCTCATGATTGCATGAAAATTATTAAACATGGATATTGAAGTTTATTTAGTTAACGAAAGCCAATGGCATTGGCATGACCAGCACGAACACGTGTATACGCAAATAAAGTAAATGATCGCTGCCGCCCCAACTCTGCGATATTTTGATATACGCACACCAGTAACGCTGACTTGCGACGCTTCCAAATTCGGTCTAGGTTGTGCCTGTATAAAAAAAAATGGCCCCATTGCGTATGCATTGAGAACCATGTCGGCAGCAGAGCAGCGATACAGCCAGATCGAAAAAGAACAAATTTAGAGGCTACATGTATGGTCAAAATGTCACTGTCAAAACGGACAACAAACCGCTTATTACAATATTAAAGAAACCTATGCATGCCATTCCAGTATGCTTACAGAGAATGTGCTTACAACTTCACAAGTATGACATCAAACTATGCCTAGCAACACCAGCACTAAAACTGATGAACACTTTGATGTTATGATCATCGAATGCATTTCAGTGTCCAAACGCATAGAGCTCCAGGAAGCGACCAATGCAGATCCGCAGTTAGAGCTACTCGCAACTACTATTAGACATGGTTGGCCAGACAAAAACTATCGTGTCCCTATAGAGATATGCACTTACTTCCCTTTTCGAGATGAAGTCACTATAAGCGACGGTGTCTAAATTTAAAGTCCAATTAAAATGATGCTTTTTAAGTTGCTGATTATTGAATTATTACATATGTTTAACAAATTAGTGGTAATAAAATATTTAATTTTTGGTTTATAAATATTAAAAATGACGGTTAAAAATATTAGAATAAGCCCCGCCCACTGGAGATGTTCACTGAAGTGTGAGTAGAGATGACATAGACTCGGTATAACAATCACAGCCATCCTGTTTATGTAATAAACATCGTAGTGCAACATATGAAAGAGGGTCAATTGGGAAAGGTTTTTGCTAAAATCTGAAAATCGGTAACTTTATTAGTATCTTTGTTGAATTTAGTGTCCAATTGCTCGGAATATATTACGACACATTTTCTCAAGTTATATTTAGTTAAGAGTTTCTGTACACAAAGATTTTGATATAATTTTTCTTTTTAAATGTATGAATGCAATCTTCGTTGGAAATTTTAAAGTTCATTGTCAATGTTACTAATAATGTTTTTATCAATCGCCTACGTTATACAATTCTTTATGTTAAACTGATTTTTCTATTGACATTTTCTGTTATTCTCTTATGTGTTTTTGTCAAAAGGTTTCGTCCAATGTTAGTTTATATTTAGTTCCTCATAACTCTTCATAACATTTTATATTCACACACACACCTGTCTCTTATACACATCTAGATGTGTATAAGAGACAGGTAATATATATATTAAACCCTTTTGGTATACAATTATAGCTGCTCCGAGTTTTCTGGCCTGTTCTTTTTTGTTCTCTGCTTCTTCCATATTTATGTTAATTTATTTTACTAGATAATGTATTTATCATTTCGCCAAAATTTACGTACACAACATAATGTGTCTGTATTTAACATATTTCTATCTGTCAATTTAATGTTCTTACTCAACCATCTAACATCACTATTAGGTGCACTGTTTACTGTTATGTTTACTGAAAATTTTTGATACACTTTGCCACAACTTGACCACATTTTTCAGTTAAATTGATTTTGTGAATTTTATTTAGTTCTAAAATTTTGTTGGTTTAATATACTGTACTGTACGTTTTACCACTTAAACGCCCAAGCTTCCACCACAAACTGGTATTATCCGGTTTCAAATTGGTTAAAACAAGGGGAAAAAATAACTAATAAAAATTGGCTGTTTTTTACTAAGTATTACACAAAATCATTTAGAAATCTGCTACTTACAATGGTACTGATATAGTTCCCCATAATATTTGTTTTACTTCTACTTTTTTTTAGTATTGGATTCAGGATATGTAGTTTTTCTTCAAGCAATGGATCAATCCTAACTTGTAACTAAATATGGCTGCTCTTGTGGGAACATCCCAGGCATTGGCCTAGGCCTCTCTTGACGTTGGCTGAAGTAGAGTTACGAATGGCGTGGTATTTACCATTTATGTAGACTTGAAAGTTACTTAACTACATAACAACTAACTTAAAAGTAATATTACTCGTGGATATCATCTCGTACATTTTTTCTACACACAATTAAGTGATATGACGTACGTATCGGCGGTGTACCCAACGTCCCCTAAACCTACGCTCCGGAAGATATTAAAATGATAATTTTTGTAACTTATGATTCGAAAATGAAGATGCACTTACGATATATGGTAAATAGATTATTTAGTATTAGTGTCTTCCCAAAATAAAACTGGATTATACAATGTAAGTTACGGAAATAGCGATATCAAATACTGTACTACAAAACTCAGTGCACTGCGAAACAAAAAAAACAAAAATGGACGATCAAGGTTTGTTTAGCCCAGCGAAACCGGTAACCAGGAAACGTGGAGTCACACTTTTCTCCATTACTTTGACCCCGAGGAGATGCTTGTATCTGATTGGCTTTCACACAAAAGAGGTCACAGCTCGCTGGCGACCCGCTCGCAAGCGGCTGTTCACATGGATCAAGAGCGAGCTGCATCGAGAGCCGCTCGCGAGCGGCTTGTCGTGGGTCACCCACGACAAAAACCGCTCTTTAGCGGTTGTTCGCATGAAGGCCCGGCTCGCGAGCCGATCGTTCGCTTGCGAGCGACCCAAGACATGTGAACGCGGTATTAATGATTTACAGACATTTTTTTTAAAATCCTTAAATTGATTACAAGCCAATTTAAGGATATATATGCAAATGAATACAGAAACTGTCCAAAAAATTGAAGGGAAGTCTTTTTTTCTTATTCAAATTTTTAATTGAAGTAAATAACTTGCCTAAAAATACAAAATTGTTTTCATGACTGATAGTACAGCTTTAATCCCTATAGAAAAAAACAATTATTAAAGGACAGGTATTCTATCAGTCATGAAAACAAAAATTCTAATTTCAAATTTGAATTTGTATATTTAGGCAAGTTATAAATAAAACGAACGCTACTGGGTAAAGACAACTTGATTTCTTGTGTATACAACTGTATTTGTCATATCAATGAACGACATAAGCTTACAATCTAGAGAACAATAGAAACCAAAAACAGCTCATTATACATGGTAGATACCAAAACAAGTTATATACTGTAGGTAGTTAACAACTTTGAATGCTATAAAAACTACATTGCCAAGACCAATGAGATCGAAACAATTTAACCACAACATAAGCAAACGGATTATGTTGTGTGTAAACAATTACTGTATGACACCAAGGCCGTATTCCCTAGCCATTCAAACCTTCAAACAATATTTATGAACAAAAGGGGACCTTTAAACAATATTTATAAACAAAGGATAATATCTACTACCTCATTCATAGGTAGTTTTTGGTAGTGACTACTTACATCTTCCTAGTTATATAACGCCGTAAAACTACCAAGTTTGAGGACTGAATTTTTTTCAAAGATAGTTACAGCATGGTTACAGCAAGTTTTAAGCTGTAATTCCTATTTCTAATCAATATACTTATCTAATTCTCCACGTTCAACTGTTTAAAACCAGCTTTGAAAATAAGTATTTAAAAAAAATCATATACTGTATACATTTTTGTAATAACAATTCTTAACATTTTGACCTTCGACGTCATTTTTTTTTTTAGTTTTTTATTATTTTTTTTATAACTTTTTTTTTATTATTCTGTGCATTTTGACACCAAAATCAAATATAGAGTGTTTCCAAGATACATATTTTAGTTTTTTAGGTTGGGTCAATGACCTTTACCCCCAAAAAGTAATTTCCCCACTCTCCTGTCACCCTAACTTTGTTTTGGTGTAACCTAGTATCTATTCCTACACAAACAAGTTGAACTCACATTTATTGTAATATTTAAAAATTATATACTGTCAATTTAGTGACTAAAAATACCAGTTTCAACATTTTGACCTTTGACCTAAATTTGTAAGGTCAAGAATTAATTGTGAGGGCTTTCAATATTATTTTCTTTTTTGCTATATATTTATGTGCATTTTGTCACCAAGATCAATATATATAGAGTGTTCAGGAGATACGCTTTTTAGTATTTTATACCGGGGTAAATGACCTTTGACCCCTCATAAAAAATTTTCCCCACTCCCTAGCCCACCTAACTTTTTTTTTGTGTATCCTGGTATATATCCCTACACAAATCAGTTGAAATCTGCTTCTTTCTAATTTTTTCACAGATTGGCCCTAATATTGGTTAATCATGGATAATACTTTGAAAAAATTTGCTGTTTTCAGAGTGTATGATTTTAGTGCAGCAGATACATTTTAATGAGAGTAATCCATTTGCAGTATAGTTAGGATATTGCGACTATACCTCATTAAAAATGCACAAATTATATATCAAATTTTATGCAAACTTTGCATAGAAATGTTCCATTATTTTAAAAATTTATGGACAGATTTCTATGTCTTACCCTAGGAATTTATTGCCATGAAAGCCTTCAGTTTCATAATTAGCTTTAACAGTACTGTAAGATGATCGTCTTGTCAGTTAGTTTCAGTAAACTGGCGGATCCAGAATTTTCAAACAGGTGGGTGGGGGGGGGGGGTGGGGACACAACAGTTTTTCACAATAGATAATTGAGTAGCACGTAACAAACGCATTGAATTTTTAGGATTTAGTGGCAAAACGCGGGGCATGTGCCCCCCCCCAACTGTATCCGCCCCTGAATGTTAGTAATGTTTCACTGTTAATGCATTAAGTTTCTAAACTGCTTTGTCACAAATTGACTAGCTTGTATAATTAAATTGATTAGAATTTCAACATTTGTTATAACATATTTGTTGTCATTTAATTCAATGGCCTAGCTTCCACTACTACATTTATTTAGTATATCCATTTGGGATTGATAGAAAATGATAAAATTAGCTGTTATTTGAAAATGTAATAGTGAAGCACTAAATCAAATAGATATCTGCTACTTACAATGATGCTGATGTAGTTCCCCATATTCTTGTTTTAGTAGTCTATAGATTCAAGTTGTTCTTCAAGTAGTGATTTACCCAGCACTTATTATTATGAACTTGGTCCAAAGGTCATCTATCCAAATAAAAGATACTTGCATATGTTGTCAGAAGCTGTTATTTATTTCAACATAGAAGGCTGATATGCAAATTAAGTCACAGAACTAGATATGGTATTGAGGGTCAAGGGTCATTTATTCATAGCAAAAAAAATGACCAAAAACATTATAATTCATTACTGCCCCTTTAATTTAGTTTAAATTAAGAATTAGAAACCAAGAACCAATTTGTTAAATTAAAGTATAATATTATATTTTATTAATATTTAGATAGAGAGATAGATGTGAAAATCTAAATATCGCCATCCATAGCACAATCTTAATGACACATTTGGAATATACCATTTATAAAAATTTACCTCTACGTGCAACATGCTGCTTTTTAAAATTTGACCTGACATTTTTCTTAACAAATATTTGCGAGAAGAGGAAAGACATTTACCAAAGTAGTTTTGCAATTGAGTATACAGTAATGATGTTTTGTCTTCCTGTATACTGATATGTCATCGATGATCCATGCATGTTAAAATATACACAAATATTAAGGCAGGATTTACAGAGATGGACAGTTGGACACCAAATTTTATTTTGACATCTTTTAATTTCTAATAACATTTTATTAGTAGCATTGTAATTGGGATTATAATGGACAAAGCTTGTGCTCTTTATGAGACTGAGTAGGTGTGCATCATATGTCTTTTGTTTGTTTTCAAAACCACACATGTTGTTTGATAGCTAAAGATTGGTATAGAGATAATTGACTTGATAATGAATGAAGTTTAATAATGAGTGTATCAATATATATTTCCAAATATGATACTTGAACAAACGATTAAATTTCAATGAATCAATGATTGCCCTACCAAATACATCGTATAATTTTTACTGTAGGTTTTTCTGCTTTATAACAGTCCCTGATGTATAATTATGTGAGCCGGCATGTGTCAGCTTTTTTAGTTCAACCACCAATGAGAACTCTTGTTGTATTAGCTAGAAATATGGCAACTGGAGACAACGAAGAAAAACTTTTTAAGAATCGCCTGTCAAAGGAAAGGTCACCGTACCTATTGCAACATGCAAGTAATCCAGTAGACTGGTAAGAAGCCATGAATGCGATCAAAACCTCTTTCTTGCAATTCTTATTTAAAAGTGACCTTCCAGGATGATGATAATGATGATGATGATGATGATGATGATGATGATGATGATGATGATGACAGCAGTGGTGACGACGGCAGCGGCGGTGACAACGACGATAATCAATTGTTGTGCACTTTAATAGCCCATGTAGGACCTAACATTTATCTCTATGCGCTCTTTAAAAAAAACCAGAATATATAGTTGCAACATAAAAGAAAACAAACAGCACAAATAATAGTTAAAAGAAAACCAAAACAGGAGAGTAGAGAAAAATTAGAGATTTGCAATTAAGAATGATTTAAATGACTTTTCCCTTCTTGGACTTGTGACTGGGACAGTTTAGCTCAGAGGTTGCCTGTTAAAAAATGCAGCATTTTTTTTTATCGTTATGATTACTTTTAAGACTTCAAAAGCACATAAATCAACTGCAATAGTGCTCTATTTGTAATGATTTATTAATTATCTTTCAGGTATCCTTGGGGGGATGAAGCATTTGATAAAGCCAGGAGAGAAGACAAGGTCATCTTCCTGTCAGGTCAGTGGTTCAAACACTTCCTACTATTAACATAGTGATTATGATATATGGTAGTAAAAACAAAAGATCAGTGAAGTATGGACACAATTGTCAATATGTACCTGTTTTGGGCTGAATCCTCATATGTGTGTTATGATTGGTTTAGTGAAGTCAAATGCAAATAAACATAACAGCATAAAGAATACTGGCCAACAGAGCAGTTGGGCTAAATTTGTCGTAGAGCTTGTGAAGATAGTTGGAAATTTTTAGATAAGCTTAAAGTAACTATTCCAAGGTCTCATGACTTACCATTTTCATGATACAAATATTACATAGGATAGTGTATTTAGGCCTGCATAAACCAGGGGTGGATTTAGAGGGGGGCTAAACAGGCTTTAGCCCTCCCTAAAATTTCATAGCCATTTCTGCTTTTTGAAGGTCCAAATTAAAATCTTGTTTAATGTTTTCTTCACACACATCATATTTATGGGCTAAACATTTTACAGTAGTTGTTTTTCAGTGATAAAATAAAAATGAAATATGTTTTTTAACTGATTAGCCCTCCCTAAAATTTCATAGCCATTTCTTTTTAACTGCTTTTTGAAAGTCCAAATTAAAATATTGTTTAATGTTTTCTTCACACACATCATATTTATGGGCTAAACATTTTACAGTAGTTGTTTTTCAGTGATAAAATAAAAATGAAATACGTTTTTTAACCGATCAGCGGACAAAAAACGTTGCTAAGAAAGCTGCTTTTGCCTTGCCTTCATGCTCAAATCTCGAAGCAAAGGCCGTTGTGTAGCGGTCTCAACGTTTGTTTAATACACTTTTCGTGTCGCGCGGGTTTGTTCTTGTCTAGTCTTTCCTTGATTGCTTGCGGTCAGAGGTATTTTAATGTTTGTAAATAAACTAATAATAAACTAAAATTTTCGTGTCGAGCGAGTCATTCTTATGGCAGGTATTTAAATGTTTGTATGATACACTAAACATTTCGTGTCGAGAGAGTTGTTCCAGTAGTTTAGTTTTTTCTTGATTGCTTGTCGTCGGATACTACTACTACTACAACATTTAAAACATATTTTAAGGGGAATTCTTTTGTCGTCTGAGGTTCTCCTTAACATTGTCAAATTTTACCTTTAGGGACAGTATTTTTATTATGGAACTGTTTTCACCCTCTTCATTGTCTTATGTTCCCTATGGCAACCCTTTCACCAGAATTTTTAAAGAATTGTGAAATTTCAGAAAATTTCCTCAAAATTTTAAGGGTGGTGCACAAAATTCTAAAGGGTGGATACAAACAATTGCTATTTTAGTACATAGCAAGTGACACGCTAAGTCTGTTTATTGACCTTGCATTTGCATTAATATTTTTTTGAAGCGTGGTTCCAATATTTTATGCATAGCGTATAATTTGCCTTTTTAATATTTTTATTTAAATTATGTTGTTTCTGTGAGTATCCTACGTGAAAAGATATTTTTATCTGCCATCTTATCAGACGGAGACACCTCCTCCCAAACCTAGCTTCCGCAGGCACTTGGAGGCACTTAACATATACCTATAGCCCCCCCTAACCAAAACTTCTGGATCCGCCCCTGTAAACATAATTGAACTTTCACCCATGGTTACTGATTTTTTTTATTTTTAGTTGGTTACTCCACATGCCATTGGTGCCATGTGATGGAGAGAGAATCATTTGAAGATGAAGAGATTGGCAAGATTTTAAACGAGCATTTTGTGAGCATCAAAGTTGATCGAGAAGAGAGGCCAGATGTTGACAGGGTGTATATGACCTTCATACAGGTAATTCTTGTCTGTTCTTCTCTCTTTCTCCTAATATTCCCAGTCTACCCTTCCCCCATCGAATATGTTCCCAGACTAACCTTCCCCCATTGAATATGTTCAAAGTCAAAAAATTGTGCTCAAGTGGTTAAAAATTACCTTAATTTGCCTAATCATCACCTTATCATCCAGCCCATCCACTTCAAATTGCGTCCCCATCAGCCCCCTCCCCATTTCAAGACTTCTAGATATGCCACTACGCCTCATTACATGGATAGGCCACTACATAATGTCTCAATGATTAGACGTTCTCCATGATACCAAATTTAATGAAAGGGGAGTAGGAAATGTTCCTATCAACAATGTTTGACTATCAACATTTCATCAATATACACAAACTTCCTACCATCCCTGATCTTTACTATCTCCCATTCACACCGAGTGGAGTTTTAGGATAAAGACTTTCCTTTGAGTTTAGAAATCCTCGGTTCAAATTCTGCAATGCTTCAGAGATTTTTTTTTTTTGCAAAAAATTTAAAAAAACATAGAAATACATTACTAAGCCTCTAAAAGGCAAGAACTGTATACTTTTACAATGGCACTGGGATCAATAATAGTTGAAGTTGAATATACTGGTTCCATCGTAATTGGCAAGTTTACTTGCAGTGGCGTATCCCGGAATTTAAAATAGAGGGGGCCCGAATTGGGACTTTTACAGATGGAGGATCTATACTACCTCAGCCCCACCATGGTTAGGGCTGAGGTAATACATTTTATGATTATGGCACCTCTTGATGGCAGGAAATGGCACTCAAAATTTGAGTAGAATTTTTTATTTATTTATTTATTTTTTTAATTTTGAAAAAATTAGGGGACCTGGGCCGGCTGTGCTCCCCTTGAATCCACCTATGACTATCTTGCAATCGATGTACATAAAACACACCTCTATTGTGAGGCATAGCATAGATGTTAACCATTATTTTTTTTCTAGGCAACAAGTGGTGGAGGTGGTTGGCCAATGAGTGTTTGGCTCACCCCTGACCTCAAACCACTTACTGGTGGTACATACTTTGCACCAACTGATCGTTTCGGACGGCCTGGCTTCGCAACAATCCTGAAAAACATTGCCAGCCAATGGACACACAAGAAGGAAGACATGAAGAAGCGTGGTTCAGCCATTTTGGATGCCCTTGTAAAGAACACAGTTGTGAAGCAGACAGAAACACAGCCTGTGATTGGTCAGGAGGCTATTGACACTTGCTATCACCAGCTGAAGAAGGGTTATGACCCTCAATATGGAGGATTTGGTGATGCACCAAAATTCCCTCAGCCAGGTATTACAAGAAAATTACATTTGAGTGCTTGCTAATTATTTATAATATTCATATATGTTTTGTATATATTTGTTTTCAGTTCTCAGACACTGCTCTTGTGAAGGGCACTACTAAAGTAAAGTTAAACATTCCAATATTATAACACACCTAAACAGATCCTTGTCATTTGATTGGTGGATGTGATTTCACATGTTATTGGGTATACACTGACACCATTTAATGGCAAAAAATCGCATATTTTGATTTTGCATCACTCATCACAAAAAGTTAGGTCCATTTTTCCATTTCATTTCCATTGCACAATTCCCCCTTATACAATGTTTTCATTGGTTGAAAGAAAATGGACTGTTCCATTCTGATGAAAGGAGATCTAACTTTTTTCATAAGGTATCAAATGACAAGGATCTATTTAAGATTTGTTACAAAACAAATAATGAATGTTTTGAATTCGTGCAATGATAAGAATATTTTCATTCACCTTGTTAAAGACAATGATTAATAATAATTTCTATTAATTTCTTTCATATTTTCTTTGTAGTTAATTTCAACTTCATGTTTCGTTACTATGATTTCAAACAAATGAATGTTGGAAAGTCAGGAATTGCAGAGCCAAAAAATCAGAAAGAGGATCCTTTAAAAGATGCTTCAGCTTGTCATGGTGAAACTAGTGAGGGCAGTAGTCAAGAAATCCTGAACATGTGCCTACACTCATTGAAGATGATGGCAAAGGGTGGTATGAATGATCACATTGGATTGGTAAGAATTTTAAATAATTTTTTTAGTGTAAATATGATTTTTAAAAAATTATTTAAACAGACAATTTAAGCAGATACAAATTTATTATACTCATTGGGGAAATTCCCAAATATTTTATCCAACCTAAAGGGCATTTGCACAGAGCATGTTAGCAGCACTTGACAGCAGCAGAAAAATAAAATGGTTGTGAGACAAAGAATATTCTGACCAATCGGTGTCTCTGGTCATCTTTTGCTGAGCCTCTAGACTTCAGAACAAATTACAAAAATGTGTGGGATGAATTTGTGTGCTGTATATAGAGTACTACAGTGTTACTTCGCGGAACCACGTGATACTGCTCTGTTGCTATCGGTGACACAAAATGACACCATTTTCTCCACTGACAAACCATTGATCCCAATTTTTAATGTAATTAAGAAATTCTATTATAATTTTTCTTTGTATATGTTAATTGATGATTAAATGTGTGTTCGATAACTAATATATTGCGAGCTTTTTGTGTTTTTAGTACATTTTGATGGTAAATTTTTAGGTTTTAAAATGCCTATTCCAGAAAGCCTTTTCTAAACCATTAAGATTATGAAGTCATTCAGGCGTAATGAATGGTGACCAATGTCCAGAGTGCGCCATCTGGTGTTGTGACGACACGACTGTGATACTCTATAGTTGAATTTCACTGCGCAACAGAATGCTGTTTTCATGCTCTGTGTAGTTGTGTCTAAAATACAGTAGCACAGATATATCAGACTGTTTAAGTTGCAGACAAACCAGTTGTTGTGTCTCTTCATGTCTATTAGAAATTAGACAATTCTTAAATTTATCAGATTAAAAATCTACATACATTGGCTAGCTTTAGCCTTCCATTAGGTTGAATAAAAGATGTCAAAAAAGGAATTAATATATTAATTTTCTTATGTTTTCAGGGCTTCCATCGGTATTCCACTGACCGCTATTGGCACGTGCCCCATTTTGAAAAGATGCTCTACGATCAGGCCCAGCTGGCCATTTCGTACCTAGATGCATATCAGTTGTCTAAGGACGAGGGGCTAGCAGATGTGGCCCGCGATATCCTAACATATGTGGATAGAGATCTAAGCGACACGGTAAGAGGATCGCATAGTAAAATGCATGCCAGTGTAGAAAACAAAGTGATGTCATTATGAGTAAGTTTAGTCAGTGTGGCTTATACAAAAAGTCCAATAGGTTATGACACTGATGGAAATTTTATTTAATTTTTGTATCCTGTTTGTAGAGTTTACGATTATTGCAAATATGGGCATCAACTGTATGTTTTTCCATAGTGCTACAGATACAAACTTTTCTATGCTATTCAGATAAACCATATTATGATTTATTATTATATTTAATGACCCTAGGCTGGTGGTTTCTATAGTGCTGAAGATGCTGATTCACTGCCAACTCAAGACTCACAGGAAAAGAAAGAGGGCGCTTTCTGTGTTTGGAAAGAAAAAGACCTAGGCATATTGCTTAGCGAGTCTCTACCTTCAAAGCCATCACTTACCCTTGCTAAGGTTTTCAACCATCATTATGGGGTACATGAATATGGGAATGTTAGTTTTGATCAAGTAAGTACATCCAAGCGAAATAGATTGCCACATCATAATGAAATATTCCTCTAAGAGATAAATGCTTTAAAGGCTAATCATATAGTTGTTTGTTTATAGCAAAAATGAATAAAATTTAAGAATAATTAAAAATTATGATGGGCTGTGAATGCAATATAAATTTATAACAGCCTAATTGCATAAGTGAAAGAAGGAAACTCATGAATGATATATTTATTATACATTTATTTGAATTATAAATGTATAAGCACTATCTTTTACTGTATAAGTACTGTCTCTTATACACATCTAGATGTGTATAAGAGACAGGTACTTTGCGCCAACGGATCGTTTGACGTGTTGTATTCCTGACTTTAGGGACATAGTAAAGTACTTAATTAACCCAGGGGTTTGTGGTAAATTTGAATTCCAATGCATAGCATACTAACTGCCATGTTATGCCTTACTTTAAGCACTGTCTAGATTATCAAATTTTATTTGACAAAAACGTGTGAGATGCCTATTATGTTGTCATGACAACGTCACATTATGACCATACAGTATATAGACACAACATGTCTATATATGGGCATACAAGATAGTTTTTTGTCAAAGAACAGAGCTAAAAAGACATAAACAAGTAGCAACCTCTTTTGCATAATGTTCTCCTTAATATAATTAACAGGATCCACATGGAGAGTTGAAAGGTCAGAATGTTTTAATTGTCCGTGGAAGTGTTGCCAAGACAGCTGAGCACTTCAGCCTTGATGAAGAAACTGTTGCTTGTGCCTTGCGCAAATCTAAAGACATCCTCTTCCAGAAAAGACTACAGCGACCCAAACCGCATCTTGATGATAAAATGATCACAGCATGGAATGGTAAGATTATCATGATTTTTGCTTCCAAAACAGCTGCGAGAGTTGGCCGGAGCAGCGTCCCATAATGGTGGTATTCTGCATATTATAGATTTTCATGGTGTGCATGTTGTTTGGGTAGGCTTGGACTATTTAAAAAAAAATATAATTGCCTTTTATAACATGTCAGTCCATAACATGCAGTATTGCTATTATGGACCGACAAAGGTAAAATGTGGAAACATGAAAAGTCAAATACACTTCTCCCTCTCCAATTAAAGACCAATTTTCTGTTCACCAATTCAACAAATGTCTTTTATCTTTATTATTCTAATGAGAGACCAAAGCTGCTAAAGACTACGGAAACCCTGATTCCAAAAGTTGTCTTTAATTGGAGGGAGACCTGTACCATTTATGTACTATATAGAAAAAAATAAGCACCTTTCATTTTGTTTTATTTCGTACGCCATATATTTTATAATGTAAAGTACAATGTCTAAACAAGACATGACTGTTATAAGATGGACCTATTGTGAAAATCTGCCATTATCCATTTGTAGGCTTGATGCTGTCAGCGTATGCACGAGCCGGGCAAGTGCTTTGTGATGATTGGTTCACCGGCAGAGCCGTGAAAGCCGCAGAGTTCATCAAACAAGAACTTTATGACATTAATGATAAAAAGTTATATAGGACAGCCTACAGGCAGGATGAGAAAGCAGTCTCTTCAGAAAGGTAACTGTTTGCTGAATCTTTTTGCATAACAAAATATCTCAGAATTGCCATTTTCTCAATACTTTCACACCAAATCTGAATACTGTATTTGGATCAGAAAGCCCGCCAAAGAGATCAGAAAATCAAATCAGTGTGTAAAGATAGCAATACTGGCATTCAGTTCTGCGGAAGCATGGCTTGAACTTTGGCTCGGATCCGATGTGATAGTCCTCTGACCTCTACTGTAATTATCATACTGCCTATGCAGAGGCAACTGGGTGGCATACAGTAAAAAGAGAGTACATTTTGTTAAGAATGAAGGAGTTAAAATCTGGTATACATTAAAGTGTTGACTAAACTTACTAATAAGTATCGACTAGTACATTTACAAATTTTACAGTTTAGTGAGATTTAATGTGGCTTTAATGTGGCATAACTCTTGTTAATTTAATTATTTATATTTAACCTTGTACAATTTGTTTGCTTGTATCACACTTTTCGAAATTTTGTTTTATATTATCTTACTTATTGGTGAGCCTCATGGTAACTTTTTACAGTTTATGTTATTATTAAAACTGTTTTTTTTTGTTTTTTTTTATAAGAGGATCAATATTTAGTTGATAAAAAAACCGAACAATTGTTATCTATCCATCTAATCAATCAGTAACCATCGCAACATAGATATTACAAACAACTCAACACTCAACAAAATAAAATTATAAGTTTGCAACTTTTAAGATTAAATCCATGTTCTTTTTTTTTCTAGGCCAAAGATGATTTCAGGTTTTGTTGATGACTATGCCTTCCTGATTCGAGGTTTGTTAGATCTGTATGAGGCGAGCTATGATGAGCAGTGGATCGAGTGGGCCGAAGCACTGCAAACAACTCAGAATAAGCTGTTCTGGGATGTCGACGGTGGCGGTGGCTACTTCTCTGTCGGAGCACAAGATCCAAATATTCTACTCCGTCTAAAAGAAGGTAATTTTAGTTCCAGTGTAAACATCCTTCAATCTAATTTCCTCTTTGAAACATCTATTTTAATCTTGGTGAGTTGAATGGCCAAGCAGAAGGCAGGGATGCCACAGCCTACAGGCATAATATCAGCGTTGGTTTGAACGGCACTCGCCCAATGTTCTGGAGGTGGAACAAGTCTTCTTGGATAAGGACTATAAACCATAGGCCCAGCGTACACAATTGGCTCATGGGCACTATAAAGAACCCAGTACATCTTTTGAGAAAAGTAGGAGGTTATCCCTGTGTGCTGGGCCATGATACAGCCTCTGTTGTGAACAGGTGGGTGTAGCTGGTACCAGTTTAACCACCAGCTCAGATACAAAGAGAACCTTTTAGGAGAGCTTACTGTGGTCCACCCTTTGGGCGCTCTGATCTTCATAAAATAGTGCTATATAAATGATGTTATGTATGTATATATATAATCTTGGATGGTAAAAATATTGTGCCTTAAAATTGAATTCACATCCCTAGTCGAATGGCAGAGTGGTTAATGCAGAGGCCCGTAACCTACAGCCATAATATCGGCGCTGGTTTGAACGGCACGCTCGTCTATGGCTCTGGAGGTGGAGCAAGTCTTCTCGGATAAGGACTATAAACTGTAGGCCCAGTGTACACAATGACTCATGTGCACTATAAAGAATCCAGTAAATCTTTAGAGACGAGTAGGGGGTTACCCCGGTTTAGTGGTTCATCTCAAGCCCCTGCCCTCAACCAGATGCTGAACAGGCATTGATGAGTATCTACATAGACTTAGATTTAGATATAATTTAATTACAATCAGATTGGATTTCACTCGATATTGGTATGAAACACACCAAATGTTTTATATCTTATTTTGTTATTTAAAATGTATTTAGGAAAGATGCATTTTCAGGTAGATGTTTATACAGTGAATAGAAATGGTTGCATATAAATGTATATAAAGACATGCAGAAAATTACAAATACACATAATATTTACAAATTATCAATACACTTAAAAATTACAAAGTAATAAAATACAAATTTAAAAAAAAATGTTCATTAAATCATCACAGATAAAATTTTCAATAGTAAATTATTTTTGAAAATAATAGTTAACCTACAAATGTCCAACTGCTTACTTGTTATTGTTGTCATCATCATTGTCATATTATTAATAATAATTTATGTTATTGTCAAAATGAATATTATTATTATTAGTACCATTGCATTATCAGTGTTTACATTACAGGATAATGAACCTGTTCATTTTTTGTGTTATCTTAAATAGGTGACTGTGATGGATTCGTTTTGTTACAGTGTCTACTTTTATTTCCGAATCCATCCAAATTTTTGTGCTAATAATAATAATAATAATAATAATAACGATTTTTAAAGCGCAAACATCACCACCAAAAATTGGTGCTCAAGGCGCAGTGTCAAAACAACAGATAGAGAACAAACAAATCACAAAAAACAAAGTGTAA